AAAACTCTTTTTTAATTAAAGATATTGACATAGGAGAGACTGTATTTTATATTTATCTATATCAAAGCAAGAGTGATTTATAATGAATTTTAAGTTCTTATAGATTTGAAAAAATATATTTAAATATATAAAATAATCAATAGAAGCTTGTTTATTTCTTTTATTAATAAAGACTCCATTTATTCAATTACAGTATGAGAAACTTTATGTTACTCAAAATTCAGGATAGAACTGAAGTAAGTAAAATTTTTTAGAAAAATTCAGAAATGAGTACTATTAAAGTGAAATAGATGACAAAGAGAATAAAAAAGTTGTTTTTCATTGATTTAGATATTCTGTATTGTTTTTCTATAGTGTAAAATGATTGCACATTAGTTTTTTTTTCTTTAAAGCTTTTTTGCAATTAGTAGAAAAAGTTTTTTTTGATTTTTTGATTATTAGAAGTTAAATTTTTATTTAAAGAGGAGTATTAACAAGTGAAAAAAGAAGTGGAAATGATTTTTGAAGTTTTTTTAAGTTGGTTTAAATAAAGTATTAAAACTTTATTAACATAGAAATATAAAAATTTCTTGTAAATATCTTTTTTATGTATGATTAAAGAATTAGTAAAAAGAGTGTTGATTATATTTTTTAAATATTTTATAATATAATATAAATCTATAACTTGTGGGTCTATAGCACAGTGGTAGTGCTCTCAGGTCACAATCATAAGGTCCATAGTTCAAACCACATGAGGGTCATGTGAAAGATTTAAGGAATGAAAAAACTATCTATGACGCAAAACACAACCAGGTTTAAGAAAACACCGATTATCTCCATTCCGGTTTCATAAAACAGAGTTTTCCCACTTTTGGTTCTAAGCAGGTTTTTCTCCCTATAAAAGGCACAATCTACATGGCTGAACACAAACAAATCTGGGAAAGGTACCAAAACCGGCAACAGCACCACGTCCATCAGAACCATTTGAAAGGTGTACTTCTTCTTTTATGGAACTAGCAAGTCAAGCCTGACAAGTTAGTTGGGAGGAATCTGGAAGGATTGAAGATCTGAAAATAGGAGTGTCTAGGTTTCCTAGATAGGTAATAGTAGAAATTTAATCCGACCAGATATTTCCGGGCAACAAGCCATCTGGTGGATCCTTTAAAAGTAGGGTTCTAGGAATGTTTGTCAATATAAATGATATAAATATGTATTTCCTGCAATTAAATTTGTAAATTACTGTATCAAGTTAATAAATAAGGCTGAGCTTCCATTCTAACACATATATAATATAGTATAAATCTATTATAAAATTGAAGACAAATATTAAATTAAGATTATAAATATTTATTCAAAATTTATATATAAAGTTTATTCAATAATAAAAAATTATTAACTTTATATTTTTATGAAAAACATAAATAAAAGTTTTATTATAAAATATTAATTTAAAACTTAATTAAGCAAGTTAACAAGGTTCTTAATTATAGATAAATATTTTAATTTTTTTTTTTTATTAATCCACAGTCATACTGCAATGACATGTCTTTATTGAAATATTGAAAAAATATTACAAAGTTTACAAACTTTCATAAAGTAACTAACTCATCATTGTATATTATTAGTTAAAGGATTACATTACTTAAAAAATATGAGGAATTTACTAAGCTAGTTTGGACTAAACAAAACTAAGTCTAAACTAGATTCTCTAAGTCAGATTTTGGGGACAATATCTTGTTCTTTTAATAGCTTGGCATTAGCCTCTAAGTCAACCAAGGTCATTGTCAACAGTTTGTTATTATTGATTATCCCAAAAAATGATGAATTGCTGAAATTGACACTGGAAAAAAAAGAGGAAAAGGAAAAAAAAAAACAATTTAAAGCCCTTTAAAAGGTTTTTGCTCTATTTCACAGTTGTTTCTCAAAAGGGATTTGCCTAATTGAAATATTCTCGAAGCTTCATAATATTTGAAGAACTTAACCATTCTCAAAAGTAATTTTAAGAAGACCATTTAAGGAACTTATTCTTCTACCAATATACAGATTCATTTAATACTATTGGAGCCAATACCATATTACAAAAGAGTTTGCCTAATCGAGATAAAGAAATCTTTTCAAGAACTTTGTTTGATCAGGATAGAAGCTTGAAGACCTCAGCTTTTGTTCAAAAAAGTCTTTTCATCATCCAAGGAACTTAGTGAGAGATAGGAATTGGATCTTCTTTTTTTACCCATCACCCACCTTTCAGTATCATAATTGTTTCCTGGAGATTGAACTTGCATGATTGGAAGAAACACTTTTTCTAGAACTTTCCTTCCTACATTACTAATGATATATCGAGACATATGAGTAAATCAATAGAAGCTTGTTTACATTCCAAAAACTGACATGTTTTATGTCAGCCAATTACCTTTGATAAGAATTTGTGCTATTCAAAATTCAGGATCAGACTGAGATAGGCAAAATTCTTCAGAAAATCATGAAAATGGAAGCTTTAAGAGGATCAAAACAGTCAAAAAGAGAGAAAATAGACCTTTTTATTGCAGAAAATCTTTATAAACCTCTTACTTCAAAGGTTAGAAAGATCTTCAGATACTTTATAGTCAGTTCTTCTTCTTTTGGAAACTTTCTTGCCATTGGTAACAAAGGTGTTACTTGACTTTTCTTGATTACTAGAAGTCAAGTTTTTGAGTGAAGAGGTTTGTAAACAATAGGAGAAAGGTAGAAGTGACTTTTGAAATCATACTTCAAGTTGTTTTAAGGAAAGTGTTAAGATTTTATTAACAAAAAAGTGTAAAAACTTCTTGTGAACATCTTTTTTATATATGATCAGAGGATCAATGGAAAGAGTTAATATTATAGATAAATGTTTTAATAAAATAATAATTTTAAACATTCTATTAAGTTTATAATTATTTTATTATAAGAAAGATCTGTGGGTCTATAGCACAGTGGTAGTGCTCCCAGGTCACAATCACAAGATCCAGAGTTCAATACTATATAAGGGCCAAGTGAAATTTAGTCATCTGTGACATAAAGATCTCATCTACCCCATGGTGATGATCCGGTATCCTAGCATGGCCATAACAAGGAATCAACTGCTTATCATGCCTATAACAAGATAGAAAATCAACCCAGTATGCAAGTTGACCATCAAAACAGGTTCCAAACAAGGCAAAGTTAAGTGATATGACATCCTTAATCAAGACTGATCCCCTATCTGAGTGGCAAAGTTGGACAGAAGGTGTTTTAGCATTTAAAGAAAATACAAGACAGGTTCTCTAAAAGAGGCAAAGATGGGTTGCACAAGAAGACAGGTGATAACAAAACAAGACATGTTCCCTATAAAAATGTACACGCTAACAGGAGTCATAAAGATCCTATATAAGAGATCCCTAACACTGGTGATACTAGATATCTTAGGCAAGTTCTTGATACATTAGCCTCCCTTCACAGAGATAGCAATAGGTTGTCCGGTGGACTATGATTCTAGGAAGTGTCACTTCAGTTAGATAAGGTTATACAAATATAGTTTAAAACTGATTGGTATCTCATTAAATTGGTAGGTTAAAACACTTCTCAGTATCTCTGACTTTGTTAAGAATTAAGAAAAATCCTACACTAGATGGTCACATAGTTCCTCTATCCTGGTTGGGTAAGATGTAAATAAATACCCCTTGTACTATTTGTTGATCTGTAAATCCTTAGACAGTACGAGTAATTACTCATCCTGGTTGTTCCTAGGATCTATCTTAATAATTAATAAAGGTTCCGATGCTGGTGCAGGAATGAGTTAGCATGTTAAAAAAATATATATATATTTTATTATAAGAACAATATCTAAAAATCTTTAATTTTAATTTAATAGAGAATCAGTAAACATTATTGAAAAAAATATCAAAAGAAGATCAACTTTATTACTTATAAGAATAATATTATTTTATAAAATAATTTTATAATTATAATAAGAAAAGAATAAAAGAGAATTAATATAAAATTTTATTATAAATTAATATAATCAATGTTCAAGAAAATAAAATTAATAATTGAAAGTGAAAAAAGTATAATAAAATATTTTAGATTTTGATTTTTATATTTATTATATTATAAAATTATTATATTATCAATTTTTTAATCAGTATTTTGGAATTTTTTGTAATTAATGTCAAATAAATTTTTTGGAATCAGTATTTTAGAATTTTTTTGTAATTAATGTTAAATAAAATTTTTATTAATTAGTTAATAAATTTTTTATAATATACTATATAAAGTGATAGTGATATAAGTTGAACCAAATGGTAATAAATATTATTAACAAATTTGATTTAATTTTTGATAATTCAATTAATAAATGATATAATTTTAACTAATAAAATTAAATTACAAGAAATGTTTTAATATCAAAAAAAAAATTTTTTTTCTTTAAAAAAAATATTAGGAGAAACGATTTCTGATCAATATAAATAAGGGTATCATCGATATCGAAGAGGTACTTCTTTGATGAAAACTTGGTAGTGTGAACGATAATGGCTAACTAGTATTAACTACTGATGACCAATTCAACTCATTTGTAGATATCTTTATATAGATAGTAATAGAAAGAACATCGTACATCGCGTCAGCGTATTGATATAACCATATGCGGAATTCATGCGAATTCACCAATTTTTCGCGTTTACAAACCTGTGTACAATAAACTTATTATTTTCCATTCAAGATTATTAAATATAAAGTTAATGATCATTTCTCACTAACTAGAGGCTTTATTTAATATGGGATCGAGTGAATTCAAGATTGAATCCTGAAACACGGATTCAGAAAAATGCACTATTGCGTGCTCTCTTGCGTTCTCCTGGATTTCTCGGAAATTCTCTTCTGTCATTGTAAGTGCCTTGTATAATTCATTCGAAAACGAGTCCGCATCATTTGCAAGAAAGCCTGAATAAATAATATTTCAAAACTTTAGTAAAACTAATATTCTAGTTATAAATGTTTCCCTCAATTATATATTTTATACCTGTTATTTTGTTGTTATATGGAACAACAATATCCATTTTAGGTCCTCCAGAATTATGAGCCACTGGAATGGCTCCGGCAGCCTGTCAAGTAAATTAGAACATTATAAGAACAATACCCGTTGATGTTACATCCCTTCCAGAAATAACCACCTTGATTGTACTAAAATTTTGACTGCACTTACCATGTATTCAACTATACCAATACCAAAGTGCTCATTCCACATTGTGTGCAGTCCAATCATAGCTATTGACAACCAATCGACAAGGACAGGAAAACTTGCATTGACTTCAAATTCGATATTGCCCTTAATTTTAATGCCAGTGATGACTAAAAATAAAATTACAACAGTATCAATAACAATAAATCGATTGTACCTCAATATTCAACCGTTCACATAATTTTCTTAATTCTTGTATTCGAGCCTGATCCTCCTCGTTACGACAGCTTCCTATTAACACTAATCTTACTTTTTCCAGGCCATCACGAAATTCAGGATGATTCGTTAAAAGTCTGTTTAACGCTTTAAGTTGAAGTTGATGATCCTTTTCTGGCCTATAGGTATATTTCGGTGAAAATACGGATTTATGGTGAGGCGTTTAAGCCAAGATTTTGTCCATTAGTGTGCACACACACACACACACGCATATATATATATATACCTGAATTGAGCAACACTAACAATTACTTTTTGCCTCCCGCTTAACGGGATTCTTGATAATTCTGTAGTGCCACATGGGGGATACACAATTTTGCTTTCTACACTCCATAGTTGATCAATGTGCCCCTTTGTCCAAGTAGAATTTACCATTGTTATTTCAGCATACGAGCCAGCTAAAGAGTACAGCCAAGCAAATATTCGATAGTACCTGCAAAAGAATCAGACGGGGTATAATCATTTTTAAACGGCATGCGAATCACTTACAATATCTTGGCATTGCTAAATATAACACTCCCGGCGATCAATCCTCGGTTATTATATCCTGGACGCCTTTCTTGCACTTTCTTGAGCATATCTGAACTAAATCAAATGTGAAAGCCATTAGAACAATGAGGAAGCCTAGTTTTTGTATCCACTGATTCGATTTAACAAGTACCTTATAGTGGGATAATGCACGTACGCGGCAACCCTACACCCAAAGATCTTTCTCGCTAGAGGATATGTAAATGCATAACCCATTGTATCTATGTACATCACAAAAAATAAATATTATAGACGTTCGAGATTGGGATAATCCACAAAAGTTAATGAACGATACCGAAAAATATATCCGGCTTCAGTTTCTCGAGAGCCTCGTACCCAAGAACCATCGAGCCGAGACTTTGTCCCAACAAGGTAAAGCGAGGATACCTGTCCAACGAGACAATAGAATGAATGCGTTGGTTTTTCGTTGGTGAAAATTGTCAAGTGGGAATATGGTTAATCATACCTACTGTCCTCTACCCAATGGCGTTTATCTAAGAACACAAATTTGATAGTGCCCGGGTTTAGTTTAATGCTAAATCTCGTCTATCGATATATTGAGATTTCAATTTTTTTTTTTTTTTTAAAAAAAAAAAAAAAAAAAAAAAAAAGGAAGGAAAACTAGAAACTCACCGCGGCGCGGTTCAATATGTCTTCTTTCGTAACCTGAGTATCGCCGGTATACACGATGCATATTACGTGAGGGTATTTTGCTTGAATTATTCGTATGGTCGTCCAAAGCACCCTTTCGCCGCCACCACCAGCATTACTGTTCAATTTTTCCATTGTTTAATATAATTATGCACCAAAAGGAAAAAATTCGAGAATTGCAACAGCATTGCATGTATGCTTTCTTTATTCCGTGTTGCTTACCAGTATGGATGAAAAAATCCTAGTAATAAAGGGTTCTCTGTGACATCAGAATCGATTGTATCAAGGAATTCCTTTCGTTTCCGAAACGAATGAACTGAGATGTGCCTTTTTAAGCGAATATAGATAAGATAAAGGGTAGTAAGGATTCCGGTGCTCGACAATATTAGGAAATTTAGTGCATTTGATATGTTTAATGATTCAATCATGTTTCCCAAGGTTTCTCGAAGGACAAAGGAACAAATTGATATGTTTAATGATTCAATCATGTTTCCCAAGGTTTCTCGAAGGACAAAGGAACAAATTGATCTTTTTTATATGGTACACACATTTTTTTAAGTGTGAATCACCGATAGCCACTTGGCATCCGTTTATTGGGTGACAAAATCTAACATTCCACGACATTTTGTCCTTCTAAGATTAATTTTACTAGTGTATTATGAGATTAAAATATAGATACATGGTGCTAAATAAGATAATGTTAACTTATTTCTTATAATAATTACGATACTTAAATACTATAACGTTTCAAAATAAAAGAAAAAAGAGAAAGAAAAAAAATTTTTTACATAAGATAAAATCCCAATCAATGGAACGAAAATTATAAACATTTTGTATATTTCCAATGTTTTTTTTTTTTTTTTTTTTTTTTTTTTTGAGAGGGAGGATATGAAATCACCAATATTGGATTACATCATATATTTCAGCCGCCTCTATCGTATTGTCAGCCTGTATGCTTGCGGCCTTGAGATTATATAATTCAGTTTCGGAAGTCATGTATTTAATTATGGCAGACTTTTGGTCTATTTTTCCTTTCTCGGGATCATCATTGACTTTCTCGGGATAGATATTTTGCAGGCAATCAAATGTTAAATGTCTACTTGTATATGAAGCCCCAGGATCAATTTGTTCGATCATACAATGTCCTTTCCGTTTCCGTATCTTCACCATATTTTTACGCCTCTCTTCGGCTATTCGAAATTCCGTGGATGTTTCAGTTGACATGGAATCACAAACTTCGGCGAACCATATGCCTATGGTCTCGTGAAGCTCATCAGCAGATGGTCGACTCGATGGATCATCCTCCCAACATCGTCGCATCAGGCGCGCATAACATTCTGGTATATCCTCGGTAATCTCGGGTCGCAAACCCTTGCATATCTCTAGTGCCAAATGTGAATCGTGCGATTTCCCAGCGAAAGGCTTTCTATTAGTTGCCAGTTGCCACATTATAAAGCCGAAACTGTAAACATCCGCAGATGTCGTGTGTGGTTTGTTCCTTAATATTTCGGGGGCCATGAAGGGAAGAACTCCGTGCGATCCATCTTTGTCATCGAATGAATCCGACTTGCCAGCAGGACGACACATTCCGAGATCACCAATCGACGCCATATTTAAATTTATGAGAACATTTCCACCATGCAGGTTCCGATGTATTAAACCTTTCTTGTGTATTCGGGAAAGACCAATAATGATACCATAAAGAATTTCCAATTTTCTCTCCCATGTTATGCTGAAAGGACTTTTCGTCAGATACTTTGTCAAGTCGCCATCGCGCGCATACTGTATGACCCACACGTAATTCTTTGTATCTGGATCTTGCGTTATTCCCAAAAATCGTATTACGTGAACTCCGCTATTATTCTCGCTACGCAAATTTTCCTTCAACTTCATTTTTTTGTAAAAACAGCATGCAAATAAATAAATAAATGGATGATAGAATATTTAAGTCAAATCGAACAAAACCACTTACCCCTTCGAGGAACTCTTGTGAAATATTTTGCGAATTGTCCAACAATTTCAATGCGACTGGATATTTTTCCCTTCGTCTGTACTGACTTGTGCTCACGTCCCACACGTCACGTGGTCCGTCAATCCAAAAGGAACGAAAGACGCTGCCAAAATATCCCGACCCAACATATTGAATGTTGCAAAGCCTACTATAAGGTATCCATTCCAAATAGTCAAAGCAACTTTTGGCATCAAGTTGAGTTTCCAAGATGAAGCAATCCAAGTCATCATTTCCGCTTGTCCACGTGCCAAACTTTTCTTCGAACCTCCTAGATTCACAGGATTGACACCAATGTGCGTAATAACCAACAACCGCTACCTTCTTCTTGCATAGCCAGCAAGTACTTTGATCAGATTCGTGAAGCGCTGAAAGGCTCGCTCTGGATCTTTCGTTCAACCTTTCAGCCAATTCAACTCCTCTCAGATGATCAATTTCTGAACTTGATAATGATCGCTTTAGCGTATTCTCGGGATATTTAACATGCACGATGCTGAAGTTCTGTCGATCGGGTTTCTTGTCGTGCAGTTTATTATACTTGCTTGATATCGATTTCCCGGTTATATGTCGAACCGATTGAATGCTTAATTGACTGTGTCTTGTCAATTTCTCTTTTTTCGCTACTAGAATTGTTGCCGGTGTCTCTTCCTCAATTCCCTCTGTCAAATCTTCAAGCCTCGTCCTTTGATTACTATTAGCATTGGTTGGCTTGTTATTTCTTATTGAAACCTCCGGCTCTATTTGAGACTGGAAATCACAGCTTAAAATTGTCGCAAAGTTACGGGTGTTGTCCACGGACTGACTTCTGTGGTGACCTCCTATGTTGAATGGGTCAACCACAGCATACCGCCGTTTGTCCACGATGAATGTTCTTGTTTGAGAATCCACCACCTGAGATTTTCTCGGCGATATGGGGAGACTTTGATGTTTCTTCTTTAGCATGGGGTGATGATCAAACATATGCCTACGACTTGATGTACCCGGACATCCATTTTCTTGCTCCTCCTGTCGCTTCAAACGATTTATAGCTACGTCACCCGCCTTTAATGGAGAGAAGAAGAGTGTTTTCTTTCATGTAAGTTGAGGGAAGTCGAAAAAAAACAAAGAAAAAGAATCGAGTATATTCACCTTGCTAATCCATTTAAACAACTTTCGCACCATACGGTTTTAGTTAAGAACAGAATATTTTCTAATGATAATAAGCTATTCTCTAAATACCTGTATGATGCTCATCGGTTACGGATTTTGTAGCAAATGTTTCAAAAATTCTGAAACCACAGAATCCTGGTGCTTTTTATAGTTGACCAACAATGTTTACCTGCAGCTATGCGCTCTAATAAAAAAGCCACCTTTATTTGGATTATTTTAACATTGAGAGGGCTTTTTTTGGATGCAGTAGTAATCAGTAATCTCAACTCATTCATAACAAAAAAAAAAAAAAATATATATATATATATATATTTTAAGGTAATTTTTTGGGCTAACCGAATTGAAATTTAGGTCTGAATGGTATCATAACTCTGGTCAATCACATGAATTCACTAATTCAATTAGACTCATAAATTGCATTATAACCTTGTTCTTTTATTGGTGTTTATCGTAACTTATGTGATGCATCTCTGGACGCGAAATTATAGTTTTTGAAATTTCACCACGGCAATGTTTTGGTCTCGAGACCGCTTGAAAGTCATCAATGGTTATCGACCTTGTGTAAACTTTGTAACTAACCGGAAATCATCACAGTAAAAATCATGTATTAAATTTTCTGCATTATTATGTGACTTGATTAATATACAGGATATTGTACAATATGCGGCATATATAATTTATCATTTTTGTTATGGACGAGACGAGAAAGGTAAAAATAGTAAATCGTTGCGACGGCGCAATTAATAACCGAACTTTTGTCAGTTCAGTTCATCGCACTTTTTGACAAAAACAATCATTTCCTCCTTTGAACGATACGCTAGCCGTAAAAGAGAGGCACTCATAAGGGGAGACAAGAAAAAGGTCCCGCAGATTTGTTTGATGATCTTAATTTTGAGTAACGGAATTTTCCCGCCAAAAAATTTCAATTCTATAGATGAGGGGGGGAGGTGCGTGTATCATGTATCATGTATAGCAAATTTCATTGCATGTTCATATACGAATAGACTTACTCAAGAAAATACGTATTGTAGCACACAAAATGCGTGCGTGATACACGGTAACGAATGAAATAAATTTTATTCTTAATGATTTTTTTTTTAAAAAAGAAAATGCGTTTACCTTTATTAGTGAAATCCACTTTTTTTTTTTTAAAGCATTGATTTTGTTTCATTCAATCGGGAGGCTTTTAATTGCCACCATCCTCATTTGTAAAGAAGGGACACCTGATTCTTACAAATCGGCATTCACAAACCGCCGCTTCTCCGTAAAGCAATTATTAAATAGCACCAGGTCGATAGTATGTATAATAGAGTAATTTGTTTTCGTCACGCATTCTTCACCTTAAATCCTTCTTGATTGTTCCGTTCAAGGGAAGCCATGATTTATTGTGAACTTTTTTTTTTTTCATATTGTCCCTAGAGAAATAATTACTTATCGCATAATATTAATTTTTTTGTGACACGGCACGTAAATTTTACACATGTACTTGGAAAACATAAACAAAAGAAACCTTATTTCAAAAAAAAAATAAAAATAAAATAAAAAATAAAATCGCCAAATTACAAACATCGAATATAAACTACTTTTTTCAAGCAGAATCATGCGTTTGCTGATTTTCTATGTTTGTAGCACACGAAGTTGATGTGGTGGTGCATAGAATGAAAGTAAGTTTTCGAACATCGTCATCAAGGGACCCTAACAATTCTGAATCCATCAGTTTGTCCCGAATTTCAATAATATTCCGAACCTTCATGCGAGTCGATGCGAACTTAATTTTTGGAACCTTGATACTATTGTATCAAAGGTTTTTAAGTTCATACAAATTATTTTCGAAGGCTCCTAGAATTTATATTGTACATGTATTATTCAAAAAATAGGGACCAAAAGACCGATATAATGTAACATTTTTTGTCGTTTTCGAAAATAATTATCCAAATACATAATGATCATAATATAGAACAAAATCATGGAATGATAATAGGTTTGACACTTGTACACTTTCGGATCGTCGTCTAATAAAAAATACATTTTATCTTTTTAACACTATATTGTTAATATTCATTTACGTTACGTTAATGATCACAAGAAACAATAAACTTAATTAGGATTAAAATTAAAATAAATCGAATTATTATTATTATTTAAAATCGGCCAGGATTAAGTAATTCCTATCGAAAATTTTATCAAGTTAAATTACAAATTTATTCCTCATCTAATACTGTATATAATTATCTAAAAATAAAATAGAAAAACTATGCCTTTTACAGTATATAACATTTGCATATCTATTAATCATAATTATTATAAAAATCTATGACAATTTCTGTTTATTTATTTTGATTTTTCATTTAAAAACCAGATTTAAGCATATAGGATATAAGTCCTAAACAATTTTAAGTATAGATTATAACATAATAATTAGTGTGAATAGCACTATCATAGAAATCCATGTTATTTATCGTAAATAGTAATTGATTATAAAATTATAATTAAATAAAAAACTAATTAAATTTTTTATTTTTATTTTTATTTATTTTATCATTATCATTATTATTATTTTTTTGAGTCCCATAACCAGGTTAGATTGTGAGTTTATTAATTAGTTGAAAACATAAGTATATTTTCATTCAAGAAGCATGATACATATTATAGCTAAACTATCATTCTAATCTAATCAACTTATCATAAGCATAAAGTTTTCAAGTTTGACATTGAGAACAATATTTTATTCTATAGTATCTTTGAATAAAAATCCTCCTAGTTTATTGTATCATTGCCAATAGGTTATCACTATCATATATCGAATCAAGTT